AAGCAACATGAAGCTACCATCTTCAAAAATCAAGGACTATAGTCCAGGTGAATTGGCAGAGTTACCCAGACTTCTCCACTGGCAGGTTGAAAGATTAGTCACTACATTATTGATTAAAATTTTCCAAATAATCAGATTCATTTCATATTACACCATACTCTCTCTTAAAAAAAAAATTATGAATTTCAATATGAACTACAACCTGACAGATAATATAATTTATTTTTATTTGGGTGTCAGAAAAACTAATTCCCTTATTCATAGTATTAGAATTTTAAAAAAATTAAAAAATGCCAAGGATGCATTGATATTTTTGTATTGAAGGCTTTCATACATATATACAAATAAGAAATTTTTTAGAATTTCTTTGTCTATAACAGTTAAGCAGCAATGTATAACAGAAACAACAATTCAGCTTTCCTTCCTAAATATTTAATAGGCCAGTTATAAATTATTTTTATACACAGCTTAAATTCAGTTGAATCCTATCCTCAGAGTCCTTTTCAAGGCATCATGGTCTCAGCTTTTTTCCTAAATGAAATTACTTCTCGCCCTTTGTCGCATAACTGACAAGCCAAATTAGCAGGAAATCATACTATTAATGCAACAATTCTTTTATCAATTAGAAAAACAATACTGACATTAATTACTCAATGTATGGTTCCCTAGAGTTCTTCCTCTTTCCAGTTAAATACGTACAGTATAATGAGCAGGAAGGGAGAAAAAAATACTCCATATTCAAATGCAATCCTGCAATGGAATATTTATGGGCTATACCCATTGATCAAGAAGTATTCAATTTCTTCACTCCCAATATATATCTGGAATATATATTGGGATACATATAATCTCAGCATTATAAGGAGAATGAATTAGTTTCCTGAGCACATGACCTCTGTGCTCTGAATTTCGCTGTGAACCAGCACACTTTTATTGTTAAATACATATTAAAAAATTCCTTTGATACCGGCTTTTACTCAAAATCTTGATTTTTACATATAGTATTTAGAATATTTTACTTTACATAGATTAAAAATGCAATTAATGCAATCAAAATGCAAATTAAAAGCAATGAAACTTGCATGCTACCTTTGCAAAATTTTTTAACAATTACATTTATTATGAGATTTTATTTATATGTATTAAAAGATTTAGAAATTTGAAAAACACTTACATATGCAAAGCCTATATAAACAATACTCTGCACGGCATTTATACAAACATATTAGAAATCCTTTACACTTAATGCACAAAAGTCCTTACCGGGCCTTTAATTTTGCAATCATTGGTCACAGACATATAATATTTCCAACTACAAATATGTTTTAAATGATGTAAAGATTCATATTTCCATATTTTTAAATATAAAAATTAAATTATAAAATGAAAAATCTAATTTTTTATATATTCTACTTGTTGCTATAGTTATATTTAAAAAAACTTTCTAATTGTTATAAAATGTAAAGTACAAAATATTCAGCTCCTGTATGACAAAAATTGACCAAAATATTGGATACTAAAATTGAGAATCACATTTAGGAGTCATACACAAATTGAAGGAAGAAATGTTTGCATTCGTACATAACTAAAAATAAAATATCATTTAGAAAAAGGTTTCTGGTGTTAAGAAATGACCTTCTATCAAGTATATTGTAAAAAATATTGATCATCCCCCCAAAAAAATGGAGATCTGATTCATAATATCTTATAGAACTTGTGTTCAAGAAAACACTGTCTGATTCCTGCATGAGCAAATAAATGGCTAACTCATAATATTATTTGCATTAATTAAAAATGAAAATATTTGCAAATTTAATGACTTTTTTTAAATTACTGGGCTATGATTATAAAGTAATAAATTTCTTGTGAAAAAATACTTGACACACCTAATTTAATAAACTTACACTGGTGTGCAAAAATTAAGGACGAAGTCGAAAAATTAGCATATCAGCTGAACGAAGAGGCAGAGCGAACAGAAAGACCAATCAGGAGATTAAGTAAGGTGATGTACGGTAGCACATGCGCAGATATGCAGGGAGACAGACGTAATGGGGGAGTGTCTGAGTAGTATAAAGCATGTTGTCGGTGTAAGATCAGTATTTCTGGCAAAGAGATTGCACGCTGTATAGCAGTTAAAATTACACCGAGTTGCTGCCTCAGCGAGAAATGGCGAATAATCAATCTGTTAGACAACATCTGGATGCTTTTACCCGAGGTCGAATAATTGGGAAGCTGGAGGAAGGCCGCAGTGTGACAAGTGTGGCTGCAGAGAATTGCTCACAGCATCGTTTCACGACTTTGAAGACAATTTCAAACTACAGGAACAGCTATCCGGGGGTTTAGTAGTGGTCGTCCACGGGGAACCACACCCGCAGATGACCGGTATATTGCCTTACAGGCCAGAAGAAACAGGCGGCAAACAGCGGGAGAAATCGCTACACACACGACACAGGCGACCGATATCGCGTTTTACCGTGGCCAGAAGACTGCACGGTGGTGGTCTGTTTGCATGACGCCCTATACGGTGTGTACCTCTAACGCCTGTCCATCGGAGAAGGCGTTCTCTGTGGTGCCGGGAACACCGGAATTGGAGAGACAATGAATGGGGACGAGTATTCTTTACAGATGAGAGCAGATTCAGTCTGAGTAGCGATTCTCATCGCATACTCATCTGGAGAGAGCGGGGAAGCCGCAATGATCCCTCGAACATCATTGAAAGGGACAGGTATGGAGCTGGCGGTGTTCTCGTTTGGGGAGATTTCTCGTTTCATGCTTGGTAGTCGTACAGACCTTCACATCTTCGATGCAGGTTCAGTCAACGGGACCCGTTATTGTAATGAGATTCTTCTTCCATATCTGCATCTTTTTAGAGCCACTATGGGTCCGCAGTTCCTTTTCATGGACGACAATGCACCATGTCATCGCACAATAGCTGCCGAACAGCTCTTAGAGAGTGAGGATATTGAACGTATAGATTGGCCAGCACGATCTCCGGCTCTCAATCCCATTGAGCATGTATGCGATTTTCTTCGCAGCTCGTACCTTACCACCAGTAACGATTCCGGAGCTTCGATTGGCGCTGCAAGACGAATGGGCAGCAATGCCTCAACAACTCATTGACACCCTCATTCTCAGCATGGGCAGACGCTGTAAAACCTGCCTAGCAGTCAGGGGAGATCATATCCTCTATTAAAGACCAGATGTTTCTTGCTGGACACCCATTACAGAGATGTTTCGGCCTTCAGTCGCATTGCGCTCCATGCTACTTTTTCAATAAAGCTTCTTTTTATCCCTCTGATTTCTCTTTTAGTAAGTGTTGCTTACATTACTCATGTCCTTACGTATTAGGGATCTTACGGTATTAAACGTGTTGATTTGGAAAGCTTTTGTACAAAGTTATATTGAAAAAAATGTCTCGTCCTTAATTTTTGCACACTAGTGTATATACTAAATACACTGGTAAATCACAAAGCAATATCATATGATACCATATAAGAGGGAAGGGGGAATCATGATTTACCCTAATTTATCTATTAACTGACCCTCCAATGCAAATTGTATTGTGTCAAAAATTACCGATATTGAAATTAAACATTATATCCCCCTCAAATTTTGTCATGGAACTAAGCCATTTTGTATTCTATTTTTTATATTGAATTCAAAAGTTTTCTAAACATAAGTATAGCGATCAGAAGAATGAACAAAAAGTTAAATTTAATAATATTTATAAAATGGATTTTTTAAAATTTAAAAATGCTAAAACATGAATATTTGCATTATTTGATACATTTTTGTAACTAGAAGCAAATATCTACCACCAACAGTAGCAAAAATAAAGGCTGGGTAAGGATTTCTGCAGTCACAGTACAAAGTTTGAAGAACTAATAAATACAGAATTCAACACTAACATTTTTTATTTATATTAATTTTTGCTGACTGCTAGTCATTGAATAAAATGCCCATCTTTTCCTTCTTTATTGATGTACTAGCAGCTACGCAGCCAGCCTTTGTCTGGCTTTTAAATAATCAAAAAGATAAAAATTAAAAAAAAAAATATGATTCGAATTTTGAAAAAAATCGTTTTGAGGTGCACTGGCTCTTGTCTAGATGCACCTATATACCAAATTTCGTAGCCCTGGGTCTATTAGCTTATATCTATTAGCTTATATACAGCACAAACGAAAGACACACAGACTCTTTCTTTTATTATACGTAGAGCTTTCTTTCTTTCTTTCATTTTTTTTCTCCCCCCCCCTTTCCTTCTTTATGACTTTTATAAAATTCTGAGAAATGCTGTCCAACAAGATGTAAGTAATTATTTTCTGAATATTTGGTGTAAATTTTTTAATGAACTTTTCTAAATAATGTGAATTAAGTTACATTGAAAACGTGATACAGGCATATTTTCACCTATATTTTTTAATAATACTTTTCCATTAAAGATAGTTACACCTAAAAACATTAAAAATTCTTTCAGAAAATGCCAAATTTTTTCTAATTCCATTTAACAGTTTTTGAAGGGCTGGGTAGTGCTTGCAGTACTGAATCTCCTCTTCCAACCCCCCCCCCTATTTTTATTAGAGTTTATCCATCCTATTTTAATCATGAACTCTCCTTTCTTTCAAACTTTTTTTGTTTTCAATTGACATAACTTTCAGAGTATTAACCTTGTTATTCAACCAGTTCTTCATTTCTTTATTATTACTATATTATTATTATTATTATTATTATTATGTAAACTGAAATTTGCCTAGCCTTCTGTTACTGCAAATGCATGCACGTATATTACTGCACAATAAATATGTAACAGAACCTTCTTAAAAGATCTCCAGTTATGAAACTTTACAAGATATTTTATGCTATTCCTGCTCAAACTTCAGCTCTTTTTTCTTAAATTTCCTTGTGAGAAGTCATCCCCAAAAATTACCTGCGTTTATACCTATACACAAAACATTCTGAAATTAATCAAGAATTTTTAAACAATACAGCATAACACTTACCTGTCTGTGCATTTCTACATTTAAACCATAGGACATTTCATAGTACTGAAATAGAAAAAAAATCAAAATTATATATATATATATAAGCTACATAAATAATTAACAAAAAATAAACAGGCATTATTTATAAAAAAGCTGGTTTTAATTCATTAATGTTTGACAGGCACAACAGTTCTATTGAATATATAATGATTGGTTATTGAGATAATTTTTTAATTAAAATACATAATACAGTCTTCATTTGCTATAGGAAAAGGAGAAGAAATATCAAGATTTATATTTATTTCATTCAGCACAATTTATGAGCATAGTAAATGCATGGTATACAAACTAACCATAAGCAGATTTATCTAGATTTTGAATGATGTCAATAATGAAATGAAAACAAATGCAATTCCCCTTTATCTACACAATCTCAAAATTTGTTTCATTATTATGTCAAAATATAAATTTAAAATATAATCATCCCCTTGGTAACATATGCTTCATAAATGCACTTTCTAATTAGGTCACCCAAGAAACTTAAGAGAAATTGGAAAATCATCATTTTCTTTAACCTAACTTTATAAATTTGCTTTACAAGAATAGACCATAGTAAAAAAAAAAAAAAAAAAAAAAAGACAGAGAGAAAAGAAATAAAGTAAATATGTGACTTGAAAGAATAAAATGATTTCCTTTAAGTTATACTGATAAAGCTTTTATCAATATAACTTTAAGGAAATATCAGGCATAGTGTCATATTTCTTTCAATCATTGCAGGTGAGAGAACTGCATATGAATTAGGCTAGGATAAAAAAATATAAAAAGTTTTAAAGAGCTCTGAAAGTATAAGCCAAAAGAGACTTCTTCTTCCAATAAATGCTGGTTGCATTGGACATTTTTTTTACACTTATGCACAATTTACTTAAGTATAAATTACAACAGTGATAGTATACAGTTTACAATATTTAAGTCAGTAATGTCATCAGTCAGAAATAATCACACTATAATGAACTTATGTAACAAAACTTTACAGTTAGGTTATAATTTTATTGATAAACAAAACTGTCTCTACAAATAACATAAGTAATATTTTAACTTACCATTACATAATGCCTCTGCATTTCTGTTTTTTCACTTGCTAACTTTTCACATTCTAATTTTAAACTGAAAAAAAAAAAAAAAAAAAAAAAAAAGAGAGAGAAAAAGAAAACTTTTAGATAATACAGAAGAAATTTTCAAATTTTTGTTCAAGAAGCAAAAATACTAATAAAATTTCAAATAGTACTTTAAATACAACTAAAACACCTTCTATAATAATTTTTTATAAGGAAATTTTTGTAGTGACCTTCATAAAAACAAAAACCAAAGATTCAGTATCAAAAAACATTACTTACAAAATCACTTCCTTGAGATTAAAATTTTACATCACACCATTAACAGTACTCCAAAACAGCAGATTAAGCAAATTACTGTAGCTGATTCTGATTAACCTCAAGATATTAAAATTTATGCTATTGAATGATGTGCCCTTAAAAAAAATTTGGGGGGGGGGGGCATTTTTGAAATATTTAAATTCTACAGTCAACTCCTTTCATATTAAGTCACGTCAACAATTGCTAATTATTTGAATCAGGAGATACAGCCATGTCCTACTTTTCTATTCTATCAATGCATTCACAATATGTATAATTCCGATTTCATGGTTTATTGTATATATGATACCTACAATATAACTACTTAAAGTGCCACTCTAGTTTTTAGATTTAAAATTTTCGTATTAATAAAATAATGACTTGAAAGAATTTTTATTTTGATTTCTGACAATGCTGTAGACAAATAAGAACAAGTAAAAATTTTGAAATGGAATGGCATTATGTATTTAAATTACAATTACTATAATTAAACATTAAATTTAAATGGATACTACTATTTTCTTATAATGTTCTTAATTCTTTTATCTTCTTTACTCTGCTTATAATGTCACTTTTCGAAGAGTCCTGAGGGTTGATTTTATAATGCATTCAGAGCACATTTATGTTTCATTTTTTTTAAATTGAATAATAAAAGATAAGCCTGCTATACAAAAACCATTTAAAGTTAACAAGCATACAATAAAATAAACTACAACAACATACTCACATTTAAAAAAAGAATTTTTTTTTATTATAATTCATTTATTTACACATATACTAACTTTAATACACTATAACATATTTAAATATTGATATCAATTAAGTAATGAGTTATTTTTACCCCAAAGGATCATTAGCCCAGAAGGGTTATTAGTCTCAAAATGGCATTTTGCATTGGATCACTAAAAGCTTGTGTTACTTTTCAAATTTTTACCACCAAACATTATCACATTATATTACACCTAAAGAAATTAAATAATGAAATATCTGCATGAATGTATATATGTTACTTGCACTGTGAAAAAACAACAGTCTCTAGAGTCATCAAAATCTGAATAACTACGTCCTCCACTCGAATATAGGCATCTGAAAACCTGAATTTGGAATTTTTATTTTATTTCGTATTTTGTAAATCCTTAAATATTTTATTATTAACAAATTCAACGATTTCGAAGGGAGCAATGGCAACACTAAAGGAGGGAGGAGAAAACATTTTTATCTCCAGTACACTAGACTGTCTATTGAGAATTCTAAAGACAGGCTGCTTTTAAATATATTTAGCCCAAAGGGACATTAGCCTAAATGCCCTTGAAACATGCATGTGTGTGTAAATGTGGAAAAAACTACTTAAGGGATAATATAAAATCTGAAAGAATTTAGATTTTTTTAAATACTATTTCAGTTTTTGTTACCTGTTACATTACCATTTTGTAAATGGTACATGACAGTCATTCACAAGGCACAGATTTAACTATTCATTGTATCTGCATACAATATACTGAGATAACTCTTTATAAAATATGCATTTACAATTAATAAATGACAGAATAAAAAAATTAATTTTTTTATTCTGTCATCTTATTTAATTGTAAATCACTAAAAGCTTGTGTTAACCAACTTTCTGCCTGACAAATACAGTACAACTATTTTTCTACACAATTTTAATATGGCACAGCTCAGTAAAAAGCATTGATAGCAATCCAAATTGTCAATGAAAGACGAATATGAAGAAAATATTTTAAATGTACTGAAGAAAATTAGTTAAAAATGCTATCTGTTTTAGAATTTCTGAGTTTACCATTAAAAACTACTCATTAATTTTATCTTTAATCTAATCTTTTTTATCTTACCTAATTTTATATTTTTATCTTAAAATACCAAATATCTCCAGATTAACATATGCAAATTACATGGATCATTTCAATAAATAAATTATGTGAATTGGAAGCATGAGAATGTAAACCAATGCAAGGTCAAGCTAACTGAATGGCAATGGGCCTTTTACACAGTTTCCATGATTCACAGTTTTCCAAAATCAGACTGAATTCCAGTTGGCAGGCACATCTACGGAAGTTCACTCACAGCTAACCATACTGACCTTTGCCGACAGAGTGTATGTACAATTACAAACATACTGTAATTGAATGGAGTAGTTATAAAAACACACACAACAAAAGCAAAAGAAATCGAGCAAGGTCACGAAAGCGTCGATGCGCATCCATCAGGGGGCAGCATAAAAACGCGCGTAAAAATGCACTCCTTCTCATAAAACAGAGGACCAGACACGCTCTGCGAAACATCCAAATAATATAGACAGGATTTTAAAAAAAAAAAAAAAAAAACATACGCTTCAAAGCTTTTCGTTTCGGGACTGGCAACGCGAAAGATTTCACAAAAAGCAATTTACCGTGAAACACTAAAAAAAGGACGAAAAAAATAACGATTGAAGAGAAATACGAGCAAAAAAGCGGCACATCTGATGCAAAACGCTTAGTATAACCTCAATCTCGATTGAGGGGGAAAAAGAAAATATCTTCCTCCAGGTCAACGATGAGAAATATATATATATATAACAAAGAGAGAAAAAAATTACATAATTACATTAATAACACCTTTCTTACGCGCGCTATTAGAAAAGTAATGAAAGATGACATCTGATATCGGAAATGTGGCTACTTTACATTTTATAAGCCCCCCCCTCCTTTTTTTGGTTTGCTTGCAATAGGTCCTCATCTCTGTTCCTTTATTTATTTTAACTACTAAATATTTACTATATTTTCATAACGTCCCCCCATTTCAAAATGCTTTCATATCTAAACATTCAAACGTTTTCAGAACCTTTTCCCATAACGCAACCAAATTTGACTTTCATTAGTTTTATTTTACTTAATAGACGGATATTTTACATTGAATTTTTCGCTTTCCTTAAAATAAAACTACCTTAAAATAAAAATTAGTGGCTTTACCGAAACAATGATTTGAACTAAGACTGAATGGGTTAACAAAGCCACACATATCACTTTTCTCTTAAGTTTTCTATTCCTTCATTATTAAAAAGAAAATACATTATATTATTAATAATAACAGACGTAACCCTATAGATTTGTATGCCTCCCCCGAAAAAAGGTGGATTTAAAAGTTCTATCCTGAAAGCTACCTATATAAGTATCCAGGTTACTTAAAATTTTCCCTAATCTAAAATATTTTTCTAAAAGTAAATAAACCATTAAAAATAAAAGTATTAAAGCTTTGAAATAAATTATGCAAAATTCTTGTAGAACATTCCAAACGAATTTGTGCCATTCTATGAAAAACGGAGCTGTTTTGCTATCCAAAATGTAAGAAGAAATGTCGCTAAGTGCACTTATCTAAGCCTTGTCATAACAATGTACTGGAGGGAGGGGGAGTGCATATTACAAGATTAAAATTAGAATGTTCAAAATGAAAATTTTGAAGCATATTTTAATCTAAATCCTACATTTAAAAACACTACTGTAGAAAAATGTGCGCAAAATGATGAATTCGTTATGGTAGTAAGTCTATGTGTTACACGAAAACGTTTTCCCGGATAAACGGGATTATATTGCATAACTTTGGCTTATTATAAAACACACATGCAGGCACACAAAACTGCATACAATCAATTTCCGATACACCCAGATTGTGTAATCATTGCGGAAAAATAGAAAAATAACTATCACAAACCATAAGAACAAAGGAAAACACAAAAATTTCAAGAAAATGCATAAGATAACAGCAGCGATAGCGGAGGATACCGTAATAGTTAGGAATTTTTATCCACGACAGTGCGTAATTTATTTGCACATAAATCTGAAATATATAAACAACTGCTAAATCATCCGTTAAGACTAAAGTCCTAAATCATAAAAATAAATTACGGGCACAGGCATTAATATTCTATCAATTCGCCTATTCACTTCTGTTGAAATACAAGAGGAATACAAGCAAAAACAACTGCTTGTTTTTGAGAGCACTGTTCTTGTTTTGAATACTAATTTAATTTAATGAGTTATTCTCCAGATTAAACGACTTAAAAATACAAGATGATTTGTTAACAGTATTGCTTTGCGCGTACGGGTTTGTCATGGAATGAATGGACACAGAACCGATAAAAGCTTGACAGAACTTATTTTCCCAAAAAACACACTTTACATCTCTGTATTTTTGTACAAAAGTACTCGTACAGTTCTTCTCAGTACGGACACAGCACAATCAGTTGCTATCACATCAAATTACTGAGAATGTTAAACACAACGCAATGTAAAACAGAGCTAAAGAGCGAAGCTCGCACAGAGATATCTCAATACTCGAAAATCAACTCTGAACTCAAAGAAATAAATAAATACTAAGAACAGGTGCTTTCTCCGGTCTTGTACAGTTTTTCCTAGCAGTCGAGAAATTTCCAGTACCTTCCAATCTTGAAATTACTGGAAGGTATAATATGGTTGAAGTTACATATAAGGGCCGGATGCGTTTACAGATATATATATAGGGACAAATTAGTTATTCAATTAAAATACCAATCATATGGATCGGACCAGCGATTTCTCGCCAAATTTGGCGATAAAAATTAGTGGCCAAAACCATCACTTGTTTGGCGTTAATCTCCCAGATTTGGCAAGACAGGTATTAATGTTAAATTAAGGACAATGTTAAGGGACTTCACCTGTAACCTTATTTTTCCCGCGAAGCTTCACGCTTTCACCCTCACTCACTCTTCTTCACTGTTTCAACGTTACAATAAACGAGAGATACTAGAATTTTACACCTAACTTCACTCAAATTATTTACATATATGAAAATTCGTAACAGTATTTTTTGGGGGGATGCAGAATATTTCTCATTTCTTCCCCTCCCCAGTTGCTGTCGGATTAACCGTGAATGTCGTCACATCAGCTGATTGGGAGTCTACTGTATAACAGATGAACATCCATTCACAGTAAACCATAAAATCCGAACTGCTTCAAATGATTTAGAAACTAAACGTAACTACTCTAATTTATTCACATAAAAAAAATACTAGCAAAGATGGTAGCTGAATAAACTACTGCATTTACTCGCATGTTTCTTCCCCCTGAAAATTTTACCCCTTCACTTTTTTAGCATAGACTTAGAAATGTTTGATGTACAGTAGTAATGCTACAGAGAGATAGCAAAGGATGTTGGCAAAAAGAAGAGTACCCCCCCCCAAAAAAAAACTGACAAACGGTAATAAAATAGTATACATTATGTCATTTTTACCTTTCTGGGTCATTTTTACCTTTTTCTTCCTTTAAACTTCATAAAATTAGGGAAGGGAGGACTGTATAAGTAATTAAGGTACTCAGACAAAAAATATTTATCATCATCCACAAAAGACATAGTTTATGTATACAGTAGTCAGTATACAACAGGACACAAAAAAAATCTGACATTACTTACTCTCTTTGCTTTGAATTTTTTGAGTTAGTTGTTTAGGGTGCGAGCACAGTTGGTTCTGGATGAATTTTCAAAAAAATTATTGCCCAATTTATTTAGCACTAAATTAAATCTCATTTATTTGTTTTACTGTTAATGTGTTTAGGAGCAGTTTCAGAAAAACAAGTCAATTACAATGGAAAATGTTTCCTTAATGAAGACATAGCCACTCTGATCCTTCCTACTCAACTTTTTGGCCCTTACCGTTAGGCTCTCCTTATATACTTTTCTGTGGAGAAATCACATCCTAACCCCCCCCCCCAATTTCTTAAGTTTATGATAAACAGCCTATTTGAATGATTCTCTGAATTTTTACTTTTCTGCTATCCATAAGAAATATTTTAAAATAATAATAACTGCTATCTTAACATACATATTTACAGAAAGAAAAGTTTTCGGAGTGGCAACGACAAAATTCAGACATGAATCCACGTTGTAATTGCAAACATATACAACGGAGCTATAATATGCAGGATGTTTAATACTGAATGGGAAAAAAAGAAACCATAGCGTAAACACTGAGTGTGATTTTTTTTAAAGTATAAATCAAATTTACAGTGAAACTATAGTTATCCAAGTTTCTATAGATGTTCTATGTGTGCCCCTCCAATGACAGGGTATAACAAATGATATATGATATTCCAGTTCCTGCCATACTTGTAATAGAATATAATATCCTTTGTTACGGATTTGACCACATCAGTTATCCGCTGCTTCCATTGATGTGAGCTCTGGGAAAATAGAGGCATAAACACCTTGTCTTTAATAAAACTCCACAGGAAAAAAATTGCAAGGGGCTAGAACTGGGGATTCTGATAGCCAACAAAACAATGACACATTGTTTGACCTAGCATGGCCAATCCAACAATGGGGTAGACTATCATCATTCAGGTACTGGCCTATGTTTTTATACTTATGTGGTGGAGCACTATCTTGCTGTATAATATACCTGGGAACCTCTTGCTCTTACTGAGGAAACAACCACTCTGATGGTATATCTTGTTAACTGCACCCAATGATTTTTCCATGAAAAAAAATTACCAAAAACAGAACTGTTGGCAATGGTGCAGAAAATTACCTTTGGAGAATCATGTTCATGTTCCATTACACCACATGAGTTTTCCGTATCACAAAATCTTAAGTTACAATGATTAACTTTGCCAGAAACATGCAAAGTTGCTTCATTCGTAGTCAGTTCATCAAACGATTCACCTCCAGCTTATCTTGCAAATTCTCACAGAAATATTTATGCTACGGTTTGTTGGAAGGTTTTTAATGCCAGCATCATCTTGAAAGGTATATTGCAGGCATTGTAGACATTTCCATAACACAAGCCATATAGGGCACTTGAGTTCAACTTGCATAATGCATTGATTTTGTGGGAATCTGCAAAAACAATTTCCAAATTTTTTCAATCACTTCCGTTTTGGGTGCTGTTCATGCCAGACTGTCTTTTTTTTTTTTTTTTTTTTTTTTTTTTTTTTTATGCAAGCAGCCCATGTCCTGAAACTGTTTCACCCACTGTTCGATGCTGTAAACAATGATGGTTTTGTGTATTCCAAAACACAGTGTGCTTTCTCCCGCACGGACGGAGAAATTTTCATTAGCAGTGACTCTAGCAGCCATTTTCAGAATTAATTTGTTTTGGCTTAATAAATCAAGTACAGAATTTGTACTATGCTATTCCATATTCAATAGGAAACACCCTGCATTACTCAGCATGAGATAAAAATAATTGCTAATTGACAGTAATGTTATGTATATTCATGCAAGGATTGATCATTTATTTATGTAACAATTAATTTATAAAAACATCATTCTACTTATTTTATATGGTTTTTAAGAAAAAAAAATTACTCCTGAAAGAAAATCTGTTACTTACTGCTTAATTATTTATTAATTAAACCAAAAGCTCAAAATGTTACCTCAAATTCAACTGTAAATTTCCTACTTAGTTATAAAAATCTGAGGATTTAACTTAAATGATTATTTTTTGCATCACAATGTAAAATTTAATTACATAATACATCTTTTTAATATAAGCTTTCACCATTTTTTAGATTTTACACTGTTTCTAAATAGAGAAACGTAATATTCTCCATATAATAACTAGTTAACTGGTTACTAGTATAGCATCAGTATGATGAATTGTTCTTTCATAATTATGGTTCTAAAAAGTATCTCAAAGTATTTTTAAATTGCAACCAAGATGTAAGTTTGAATTCTACCACATACAGCCAAATACAAAGCTTCACCTGCAGCATCACATTTTAAGTCCCAGGGAAACACGAGAAGTGCTTCATCATAAATGTGAACTTTTAGTACAAGTCTGCCAATGTAGAAACTTTGGCAATGCTGGTTGAGCATAAAGGTGATGATGAAGATGAGCTTTCATGAAGAAAAAAATTTTGAAAAGTTAATACAAAAATTTGGTTTGGTTTATTTAATTACAGCAAGCCACTAAAGAGACAAATGCAAAAGTGATAGCACCCTTATTCTGTGGCATTGACATGCAAATAGCATTTTAATTTGCTACTCTGATAAACAGAGGTAATGGAAATCCTGTTTATACAGAAGTGTCAGACCTTTATAAAAGATTCCACCTTCCAAATTCAAAATATTGATCTTCACAAAGCACTTTTATGGCAGCTTATTTTTGTGAAATTTTACTCCCCCCCCTCCAAGTTAAAAACTGATCTTCACAAAGATGCCAACACTACTAGGCAGTGGTAAACATGTCCAAAAATATCTCAAATACTGATCCCTATCATTTTCATCTGTTTTCTTATCCTTATTCATGCAGAAACTCTGCTTATTATGTTATTTTAAGCTTGTACTTTTAATTTTTTTATGAACTCCTTTGACAGCAAAATCATTCAGTTTCCAAAGCAGTCACCTCATAGAAATAAATATGATTTTTCAATTTCAAAGTTTGCTTAAGTTAAAACCATACAAAGCTTGCATTATTTATTATACAAATAGTACAGGATACAAAACAAAAGCATTTAGGTTATAAAAGAAGTTGCAATCTTACCTATGATATTGGGCTTGTAAAAAATTCTTCTTTTATCCTATCACAGGACTCTGCCACCGTAAACTTAAACGGTTGGCCCGGTTGAGGAGGGGGGCCCTGCAAGGAAAAGAAAAAAAAAATCTATAATTTCAAATTTAGATTAACATTTCAAATATTGCAATAACTTAAATGACTAGCTAAGCTACATTCATGTTAAAGAAAGATGACTGTTTATTACCAATAACCAGAAAAAGAGCATGATTGTAACAAGCATAAACCACAGCAGGTTGCTCATCAAATATTTTCATCACACTTATGTTAATTCTCACTGAAATCATGTTTCCCCACTTCACATGCCTTTTTAGTGTAATTTTATGCTAATAATATTTATCAGTCAAATTTAAAGTTAATTTATCATACTGAATAACAAAAGTTAAGTAGTGTTTGAATTAAGAAGATTGAGAGACGAAATTTAATGAGCAGAACGAGTTAAGATATAATTCAAAACATACTTTAAAAAAGACATTTTACGACTCATACGTTAAAATGACACTAAATACTTGGAATTAAAAGTCATAAAAAGCAACGTTAAAAGAATTTCACGAGAATAAAAACTCAATTATCGTTTTCGAGGACACAGAATTTTCAATTTTGTTTCCTGATGGAATATGGATATAACTCAAACACTTTTTAAACCAATTTAAAATTTTCAAGATACTGTTTTAGTACATAAAATGCGCAGAATATTTTAACTACTAATCTAAGCTTATTTTACAGTCATATTCCCATAACTGACATACTTAAGGGAGCATAATTTACGTACTTTCTTATCGCCATCGACGGAACAGCTGGCCCAATGGATTCCGCCGATGGAATTAAAAATAAATAAAGAGTTCCTGAGTACTGTGTCCTCAGGCATTGATTACATTTAGAGCTTAGTGCTGTGTCCTCCCGGAACTGTCCATGCTAAACGAGGAACATTGAAAGAAGGACCAGAACATGGAAAGAAGATGCATGGTGGGGACCGTTGAGACTAAGGAGAACACTTTTCACTATTATGGCCCATGTTACACATACAAATATAATAAAAACATGGTATAGACGCAGGTATGTTACTCCTCTTTTATTCAAAAATATTACTATTTAACCACGTAACTATCTCGATTATAACGTCTAAAACCACCTGAAGTCTAATCAGAAAATATAAATAAGAAAGGGCCAAGGAGAATGCAAAACGGAAATATGTGCATCAACAGATTGCTTTTAAATATATTACTAATTCTTATATTACGAAATCAATAAGCACAAAATAAAACAGAAAAATGCTTTTAGATAATCTGCATGCAAAATTTCTAGAATTATCAACAATTTAAAAGTTGTTTAATTGCGGCTAAGCCTAATTGTTTTACCACGGCAGCCATATTTGTTTACATTTCAAACTTGGAAAAGTGAATTAAGTCAGCTTCTGCACCTTCAATGTCTTTTTGCCGAGTGGGACCAAAACTAAAGTTTCAGCTTTATACACCGAAAAATCTGCCTTCTTGCCTGCTGGCCGAATTGCTTGTTTTGCGTAAAAAACGTAATTTTAATTGTTTTAACTCTATTTGGTGTTTTATGTTTTTCTATATCTTACAATTTTTAATAAAAATATTTTGAATTTTTGTATATCTTTACCTTGCCCCGAAGTGAGAACTGAATTGAACGAAAAATATATCGCTAATGAAATTCGAGGAAATAAGTTTAAATGAAATGCAGGAAAATGTGCGTATAATTTAACATTCTGTACAATAAAGTCATGTAATGAAATGCAGGGAAAAAAGTGCGTATAATTTTAAAATTATGTACAATAAAGTCAGTGAAACAGTAGATACGCCTCCAAACAAGCATAGAATTGTTGTACTATACTCCAAAAGTGCGTTAAAACCATTTACTTAAATACATTGCAGAGAAATATTACAGAGAGATTATTCATGTATTTTATTGACGGTGAATTCAGGTATGAACTTGGAAATCCAAAATTTAATTTAAAAAAAACTTGTTATTACGTTTTACGTTTTTATTTTTATTTTTTATTTCAGAAATTTCATTTTTACATGTTATTTCTGAGAGCACTAATATAATAACTTAAACAATTTAAAACACATGAACCATTCAAATCAAAAACCTACAATTCTAGGAATTAAATACATACGCGTCACCTATTATAAGGTAGAATAACAACTTGTTCCTTGAAGAAGAGAAGCCTGAATCTTTCTCAAAATGCGTAATTTCTACACAAATCTTCAATTAAAACTTTAAATATGAATAAATTTAAATCTCAAATTCATATGCATCTCTTCCATACACCCATATTTATATCTCAGCTCTAAAAATAATTAATAATAATAAATTTATTGCATCTTATCATATATTTGTGCAGCATAACAAGACATAATTACATGCATAAAGCCTTTCCCTCGTGAACCAGGTTTTTCGTAATACTAAGTAAAATGTTAAAACATAAACGTTATTAAGAGATACGAATACTCACAGCAGCTTCCGTATTTACATAACCGGGTCATTTAACCCTTTTTCCCAAGCTCTACATTTTAAATAATTTTTCAACTTTTTTTTTCTCCTGTCGGGCACAATTACGGATATAAAAGAAAATAAATCGCTTAATAAAGCGGTCAGAGGAGAGAGGGAGGGAAAGACGAATCCAGAGAGCTTGAGGGAGACACAAGAAATTAAAATAAATGCTGGGTTCGGGGGAGGGGAGAAGATGTGGTGTGTGTGCAGGCTCTCATCCCATTTTGCCGCGCGATTAATACTCGGGCACCCTCGAAAAGCTGTAAAATAATGGCTTTAAAATCCGGGCAAATGAGGCGTCGAGTGGTGCTCGTGAAACCGCAAGCACCTTGTTCCGCCGCCATTGATCGACCCCTTCCCTCCGCTAATTAATGTCTCGCGTAATTTAATGGGGCGCCGTTTTAATATCGGAGGCCCCTCTCGCCTGTAATTAACAGCTCCTTGGCCATTGTGGCGAAGCGGAAAGGGTTGTCGGAATTTTTAAAAACGCTCTCTCCCCCGCTTAATGGAAGGGAGACACATTATTTAATGAGGGTTATTAGGGGCGCCGCAAATGAGCCCCTCGCCCTATTGACTACGAACTTCCCACCCGCCCCACCTCTAAGTAGGTTATAACTTCCCACCTGCCTACGCGCCCCGGCACTCGAAAATGGGGCTCGCAAGAAAATAAAATGCATCGGCGAATTAAAGCACCAGGATGTTTTGATCAGGCGCGAGCACTCGAGTTTTCCCGAGAAACAGGGGATTGAGTAGGGAAAGGGTGGGAGAAGATTTCGAAGCGAAATTGGGTAAGAGCCACTCCAACTACTTCAACGATAGCCATTCGCCTATTAAAGAGTTAACTTCGGAAAATCCAATCCAAACCACTCTTTCTCCATTAAGTCAGAACAGTGGAAAATTGGCTTCGATACGATTAAATATTCCTCTTGCAAAACTTAAAAAATGTATGTCCTAAAAAAGAGCAAACGTATTAGCTTAATTAAAAGTTACAACCATACTGTGCTGTGCAATGTGATCTGTTACAAATTAATCTATTCATAATTCAGAATAAATTAATAATCTATCACAGAGCAGAATTTTATTGCTTTGAATTCATATTATATATCATTAACACACTCGGCAACTGCCCAATTTATACACTGAAAACCGTCCATTTTTCGTGTTAAACATCTTTGACAGATACTAGCGTGTTAGGAATATAATTCAAGCCTTACTTGTCTGGTAGATAGTCTAAACTGCTTCTGACCTTAAGTGAATGCTTTTTTAAATATTGAATGCATTTTATTCTTTTTAATGTGTCTCTAATTTATTTATTTTAAATTTTGCGTGCTTTTTATTCCATTTTGTACGTTTTTAATTCCTTCTGTGCTCGTACTGCGTTCGTACGTAGCAGAAAATCTCAAATTAAAAACTACTGTCAGAAATAATAATAATCATAGTAATAACAAAATAAAACTTGTGAAGCAACACAATGGTAGCAGCAGATTTTCTTAAGCGCAGCTCTATACCTCTAAATTAAAAAGTTCGTAACAAGAAGAGCCCACCATTCGCCGAGCAGTAAGTCAATTGAACACTAGTAATTCTACATGAATTCAAATTTCAGCGAACGGAGAAGCTTCATTTAAGTTCTCGTGGTTTTCGCCATGTGCCATTCCTCATGTGCCTTGTGAATACAAGCCAGTGTACCTTACAGTGCCCTTCATGATGGCATCCCTACACTCTGGCAAACAGCCCTAACATGTTTCGGCATAACTAACATAATAATGTTCTTAGCAACAAACTGCGGATAGCTATGTCATCACCATCGAAAACAGGTCCACGGATCACAATAAATTAGAATCCAGATAGCCAGTAAACTATTTCCATGCTAAGAGTTGTGTAACAAGTCGTTCCCAGCAGTGTGTTGCTATATCGTTCGTCAAATGTAACGAAGCTCTCACCCTTTGGAAAAACCAAGGAAACTTTCGTGTCAGCAAATCATGCTGTTACCAAAGACAAAATACGATGACGTATAGAGTGAAGTAACAGCAGTTTTAATTGACATTATCTATCTGATCCCGCATATTTCACAAATACACATCGGCGTAGCCACTGAAGGAGGGGTTTCGAAAATGGACCAATGAGCTGCTATTGCTCTTGTGACGCTAAATCTTCGTGCATGTGAGCGTATGTTGTTTACGTTTTTAATTTGCATTTGTTTCGCAGTTATAAATATATGGCGTAATATTAGAAAATCTCGTAGCGCTTTCGTTTTCCGAGTTTGATTAATCGCTGACATTTCACTTTCGCGATTTTTATCACGCATTAATATTAGGATTGATGTTCACATCATATTATGTGAATTAAGATAATTCAAGAGTATATTTTTTTTAATGAGCTGAGAATGACTGAAAATGTTACAATGAATGTAGTGTTTTCTTATTTCAGTGCTTGCATTCTTTTGATTTTAAAGTGTAAGATTCAGAATACATATGATCTGATTATATCCATTGTTAACATTAAAAATTATACGCGAATAAATTGAATACGATGAATTCACTCCATTTGATGAGTA